TGTAAGGGGGATAAATGGTAACAGAAAAAATTTAATAATGTATAAATTTTTAAAAAAGAATCAGAAGGAGCTTTTGAGAACTTGGACAGATCTAAGCATTGATACCCACCAAAACAGAATGAGTGAATAAAAATGCAGTACACCAGTGTGATAACAATGAATCAATCACAAAGGCATGAACTCAAAGCACTTCATGAAAGAACAATTTTAGTTGCGCAGACCATAGATTGAGTGTTTTACATCACTGAGGGTTCTCCAATAGTAAGGATTTGAATGATGTTGGGTTTACCAAAAAATCCATATTTTTTTTTCTGTAAAATAAGACATTTTTCATTTTCACCAATAACTTTATTGATTGGCTATTTTGAGTATGTTGGTTATCTCCCACATGGTATAAAGTTGATTCCTCTCAATTATCATTTCAATTTGATTGCTATCAATTTTAATTGGTCTACCCGACCATGGAGCATCTCCAGCACAAAACTTTGCAAACCACTTTTTACACTTTCCATCAGTCTCTGCACCTTCTCCATACACTGCACAAATCTTTTTTTTTTTTTTTGCATTTCAGTTGTGTTTTTACCTTTCTTGAAATAATAAAGCATAATATGCCAAAAACATTGCATATTTTTCCATCTTCTGTATTAAAATGGCTACACAAGACTCACCAATTTTAATAAGTTTTTTAAATGCATGCTGATATGACAGCTGTCACAATACAATCCAATAAAATTGTGTTGAATGAGGTTAAAGACAACTAAGTACTACTACTAGAGCCATCTTATGGGAAAAACCAGATGAATATTTTGGCCAACATAATATTTAACTAACTTGAAGCTGATTGATTTTGTTAGGCAGTGGGACACATGAAAGTGAAGCTACTGTATTCTAAAGAGCCAAATTCCAAAAAAAAAATTCACATGAGATAGTGTCATGCTTATGACCATAAATGGAGATACTTGAACATTGTTCAACTGTGATAAAATCATTGAAAATGTCATAGCAGGAATCCTAAGGAGAAGTATTAACAATTACACATTTCTAGTTCATTTGGAAATGCTAATACCACTTATGAAAGTAGAGTACAGGTATGGCATTATTATGATTAAGACCTTAGAAATATAGAGTGGTATATCAATAATATTATAAACATGTTTAGCATAAAATGCAAACAAGGTAGCTAAATTAGTTGTACATTCCAGGCTGTACCTGGATTTTCAATTAGCCTATTACCTTACAAAGTTAACAGAAGAATAAACCTTTCATCCTCTTAGGGTGCTCCAACATTAGCCAGTTTTGGGTTTTCCTGCAGCATTTGTCCCTGGAGAGTTCCAAAATCTTCCAAAGCCTCTTTCAGAATGGCAGTATGTTATTTTAAAGTAGGAGTTGAGATTACTTTACTTGGGTGTTGATGGCTATTTCACATGGCTAACAGCCATACTCGCCTCACAAATAACCTGAACGTGTTCATTTTTGCCAGCCTTCTTGGATGAATGTATATAGTGGTTTAAGAAAAATAGCTTACATAACTTTCATTAACTCACCTATTTGCTTCTTTCTCTATGTTTCTTAGGAAAGCAAGCAGAGGAGTTAATACTGGAATGGAGTTGGGGAGTAACTATTAGGATGAGATAAGTTACTCAAAATATAGTGACTGTTGGACTTATTAGAATTTACTAGATTTTATGGAAAGAAGAGAAAACCAGAGTGATTCCATAAGGAACTAAAAAGAGGAAGGATTCTGAGAGATCATAAAGTTGAAGTGGAAGTTGATAGTATACCCACAAACAGATATATTATTTTTTAAATGATGAGATAGCTATGCAAATGGGCTTAGGCATTCAATCATTTCTCTATTTTTATATATATCATCTGTAGAGTGTCCCTTCTGTGCCAAATGTTGGGTTAGAAAGTTATATTTGAAGTGCCACTTGGACATAAATGATAAATATTAAATAATTATCTTATATAATAAACTTCACAATTTTGAAATTGTCCAGAAATCCATTCTGAATTATGAGCATTTAAAAAAATTTAGTCTTCTTTTTGTGTCTTGCAGTATGCATAGTAAGTCAAACTAGTTTAATAAAAGTAGAGAAAAAATGAACTTTATTTAATGAAAGTATTTTTTAAAAATCCTTTAACTAGCCCTGGCTGGTGTGGCGCAGTGGATTGAGATCCAGACTGCGAATCAAAGGGTCACTGGTTTGATTCCCAGTCAGGGTATCTTCCTGGGTTGGTGGCCAGGGGCACGTGAGGGACAATTACACATCTATGTTTCTCTCTCCCTTCCCCTCTCTCTAAAAATAAATAAATAAAATGTTTTATAAAAATCTGTTAATTACATTCAATTATTTTTTAAACATAACATGTACTTATGATTTTATTCTTTTAGGAAGGTTAGGCATGTCTATTACAATTGTGATTCCAATACCTATTAACTTAATACATCATTTTTCTCAGAATGATGGTGGAGACAAACTCCAGATCTGATTGCTTTGCTACAAATTCTGCATTCCTACTACTTCGATATGAATTATTTGGTACCTCAGTGTGTTAAACTTCATTCCTTATCCTAGGTTCAGACAAGTCCTTCTGATAGACAAAAGCCATGTGTGAGCAACCTCTTACAAATACTATGCTACCACCCCACCATACTTTCTACTTGTCTCAGAAATCTTCTTTCTTTCTTCATTCAAAATGTAGTCCACTGATTACAAGAAGATGCTCATATTCTTGATATATCTTATTCCTCCCCTTAAAGTATCTAGTTCTCACTGGGGCCAGAGGGTGAAACCATTCATCTAGCACTATCCGTGGAAATCAGTGTTCTAGTAGCCCCAGTGATTGTGTTTTTTTTTTCCTTCCTCCAGACATTGGAGAAACACCATGCACCCAAAGAAAATATTAAATCTAAGCCTTTGTCTAAGCCAACCTTTCATCTCTAAAAGCTCAGAAGAAACCTGCCGGGATTTTCAAGCCTGTTGGCAGCAGCGGGTGGGGGTGGGTGCTCTTTTCCTGCAATCTTGGCAGACAGTTATGTAATTTGCATCTCTACTTGGCACTCAAGCTAATTTTCCCAATGATATTGGGAACCACAAAATTTGGGCTTTTTAGCTCAACTAACCACTTAACCATTTTTTCTGCGGCAAAATGGGTTTCAAGTTTTAACCATCAGTTACAAATTAGTGGTGGAACATCTTTGGCATATTATCTGGGGACTGCTTATTAGCCACAACTTAGAATAGCTTGATTTGTATAAATGTAATGTATACTACAAAGAAAAATTAACTCCACCAATCTTGAATTTTTGGCAGTTCTGTTTCTAATCCTTCAAATTCTTTAAAAACTAGGACTTCCTTTTTTCTATCATAATCTAAAAGACTTTATCTACCTTTTAAATTGATCAAAGGCAGTGATAAATTCTTTGGATATGCTAGGGAGACAGGGCCGGTGTCAGCACAATAAGTGCTCCATATGGCTGGTATACTGGTAGGTTTGGGACGGATTCAGGAGCATATTTCTTTTTCCTCCCAAATATCCTTGGCTAATCATTTGTATAAGGAGAGTGGTGGCATAATACATTTGTATATGTATGTGTGCATTTGTGTATTTACTTAAATGTAATTGAACATTTAGAGAAAGGTGTATAAAAAGGGAAGTATTCGTTGCTTCCAAAGAGGAGAGATGAGCTGCCTAAAACAGGAATAGAAGAGGTAACCCCAATTCACTCTACAGAATTCTGTACCACTTCACACTTGCACCATGTGAATGTCTTAATTATCTAAATAAATAAAATTTAAAGATAAAACCAGAAGTTCTTGTCTGGCCACTCCCATTTTGAATCCTCAGATCAGTCTGGAGGGAGATATCAAATTAATACTTTGAGACTTTCACATGAGTGACTAATAGGGTTATTCCCTTATGACCCTTATCACTATGCTCAGCTCTTTCAATAGAAGGAATAACCAAAAATACTAAACTGTCATTTGCTGAAGTGCTGTGTGCAGCCTTAATGTCACCCTGTAAATGACAAGCTTTTTGATACAAGTCTCCTTCCTTACATATGAACATTGAGAAGAAAGTGCCAGTAGAAATTTGGGTAGCATACATGACATTTAAACAATAATCCTTAATATACCATTCCTCACGTGTGAGACTGAGTGAGGGTTTCCTAAAGAGTGAGGTTGATTTAGGGATCAGGGATCAGCTGCTGAAGCCGGCACTTGGAAAAGACAAACCAAGCATTCACACCCCAGACCACTCAATACCAGCATTGTCTTCAATCCATCTTTCATAAGGGGGCTCCAAGAGGGGGAGGGGATAAGGGAAGAAGAGAAAATAAACATTTCTAATCCTGTAAGAGAAAGTACAGGAGAGAAGAAAGAAGGAACAAGATGTGAGCGTGAAAAGTCAGTTGCCAGGAATATTTAGTTTTAAAATCAACTTTGGTTTTTAATCTTAGCCTGTACTGTCAAGTTTATTGTTTTACGTTCCTCAGGCCATCTTTCAGCACAGGTCCCCCTCCAGCCTTCAAGCTTTCCTGCACTTCTCTCTTTCACTCCCTTCCTCTGTCAAGGTTTGCCTTCTCTTCTTCCCATCTCCTTTTCCTTCTGTTCTCACCTCTCCCTCTCCTTTCCTGGACTTTCGCTCCTGTTCTTTTATAGCTCGAGTCTCTCTCCTCCTCTCCTTTCTCCTGCACAGTATCTCCAAGCTCCATTCACTCTTCTTAAGGAAATCAGCCAGGCCTCAGATGGAGCTGTTGTCCTGACAACCTAAAGGTGCATCGGCCTTTCATGGAGCCTGGCTGCTGCTGAAGGGGGCAGTTGTGCAAAGCTAGGGGCCACGCCAAGGGGAGGGCGGAGGGGATGACGTGGAGGGGCTACTGAAATCGGTGGGGGCAGGGGAGGTGCTGAGCTGAGAGAGGGAGGGACTGGGGAGAGAAACAGGAGAGGGGGAGGGGGAGACAGACTCTGGGCTGCTGCCGGTGCTGTGTGGGTTTCTTTACACTCCCTTGCTGCCTGCCCGCCTGGGAAAGTGGGTTACAGAGGGAAGGAGCTCAACTCAGACACTGGCAAAGGAGCATCCAGCCCCAGATAGACCGGCGAACAGCTCCCTTTTGCAGTCTTCTCTTCTTTTCTAGAGGGTTTTATATTTGTACTCTCTCTTTCTCTTTTTTAAAAATTTGTTCTTTTGACTTTTACCCCCAGCCACCCTTGCTGGGGTTTTATGAGTGCTTTGTTAAGTCTTAGAAGGAAAAGAGGCTGAGCGAGGGAGAGGAAAAGAGGGAGGCAAAGTGGAAAGGACCACAAACTGCCCGAGCCGGTCTGTCTTTGCTGTTGATGAAAGCCCTCTGTTTGTAAGCCCCCCTCGGCAGCGAGCACACGCACACCTTTCCAGAGTACACCAACCCGCACCGCGGCGTGGCCACCATGGTGGGCAGAGTTCAGCCAGATCGGAAACAGTTGCCGCTGGTCCTACTGAGATTGCTCTGCCTTCTCCCCACAGGACTGCCTGTTCGCAGCGTGGATTTTAATCGAGGCACGGACAACATCACGGTGAGGCAGGGGGACACGGCCATCCTAAGGTAGGGCTTTCTGGCAACTTTTCTACCGTGTGTGTGTGTGTGTGTGTGTGTGTGTGTGTGTGTGTGTGTGTGTGTGATCTCCTTAAACTCCAGCATTTCATGCTGCAGGCGTGTGTATGTTTGTGTGTATATGTCTGTGTGTATGTCTTTTACTGACTGGCCGAGGTACCTGCCAACAAATTTCAAGGGAATTCTGGTCCCTGTCAAGGACTAGCAGGGTTGGTTAAATTTTGTTTGGTTCTGAGGACCTTGTGTCTCTTACTAGGAAAGCCTAACTTGCCCTCTGCTGTTAGTGACTTTTGGGTAGCATTTCTTGCTTTTATAATTGAAGATGCTTTACACTTCAGAGTTTTGTTTGAGGTTCTTTAATTGAAGAAGAAGAGTTGTTGAATTATGGCTCTCAAAGAGTGGTACACAGTGCTGCATTCTCCATTGTGTGTGTGTGTGTGTGTGTGTGTGTGTGTGTGTGTGTGTGTGAGAGAGAGAGAGAGAGAGAGAGAGAGAGAGAGAGAGAGAGAGAATAAGAAAGAATAAGCAACTCAAGGCTCTTCTCTGCCCCAGCAGTAGTCTTATAGGAGACTTGCTGAAAGAATCTTCTAATTGACATCAAGGCAATAAATCAATCTTAGAACTTTGGTTGATTACTGAGCCTTTTTTGGAATGTAGATAGAAATCGACAAAAGAATGAAGAAAATAACAAGAAGTAAAAAAAGTACTTGCCAAATTGCTGATATTTAAGAATAGGAGTGTTAAGCACAGAGGCTTAGGAAAGAATTAACCTGGCATAAAATGCATATTTCAAATTGATTACTGACCTCAAAGTCTTATCTCTATGCAGCTCTGCCAAATTCTGAAATATAATTTGAGGTTGAAATTTGGAAAGGAAGAGTCCTAAGTCCTTGGTAGTTTGACCCCTAGAAGGGACAGTGAACTCGAGAAACTCAGATGGAACCCAACCATAATTCTATTTCCAAAAAGCTCCAAGCTGCTTTTCCTGCATGTTTTTTCTTTCTAACCCTCCTACACCTACTGCACATACCCCTTGTCCTTTTTTTCTAGCTTTCCTTGAATTTCCGTAAGATTCTAACAAAAATTAAAACAGGAGAAGAATAAAAAAGAATGAAAGAAAAGGTTCCCCTTGGAGAGCCTTTAAAATCTCATTCCATCCAAATAAAGTGACCCAGTGTCAGTTTGTCTATCTAGCTAATATTGTTTGTTGTGGCAATAAAAAAAAACAGTGTACAATAGAAAATAAACCTCTAATCTGTGTGCAAGAAGCTGATAGTGCATAAACCCTGGGGCATCAGGGAGCAGTTCTGTAGCAGAGCTGCCGAGAGCAGCAAAGTTTTCTTTCCTTTTCTCAGAAATAAATTTGGTTGGCTGTCACAGTGTCCTGCTTTGGGATCTCTAGCCTTGTTAGAGAGGAGTGTGTGTGTGTGTGTGTGTGTGTGTTGTGCATGCCATGTTGTATGTGCATGTGTGTTACTGCAGATTGTAAAAACTGAGAAAATCCTAATGTGTGAGTACTCCTTTCTTCATTTCCTGAGCATTGGATGATTATGAATCCCAAAGATCCTACTCTCCGAAGCAGATTTTCTCTTCTAGCTCTCCAGCCCTGTAAACCTGCATGTATGATTTATCCACATGGAGTAATAAGATTTATGGAGTAATTTATCTGTTTGCAGAGGGATTTGGGCATGATGCAGATAATGTTTTTGCACACATAGAAGCATGTTGTCTCCCCTGCTAGCATTCATACTTCCTAACATCATTAACCCTTTACCAATAAAGCAGCAGTCTATGAGAATTTATGTTACCCCTAAAAATATTTTTCACTGATTTTAAGATCGAGTATGGGAGAAGTGAATAGTATGGATGTCTAAGTTTTTATTTAAGTGTCCATGAACTTTGTAAGGCCTTTCTACATCAGCAATACCTATATCCTTAAGCCATAGCTAGCAAAATTTCAAATAAGCATCTAAGTGTTAATTCAGAAGAAAAAAGGTATTCTTATACTTGCATATACTATATGCACAGAAGTCTGTGTCTGTGAGAGACGGTGTCAGTATATAAATATCTATATATAATATAGATGTTGTTTCTGCGTGTCCACAGCTCAAACGAAATGGAGATCTTTAGCAACATACTTCAGTAGACATTGCAGTGTGAAATGGGTACAGTGAGAAAAGAGAATAAGTATAGAAGCAGTTATTCCCTGGGAAATGGAAGATAGACTAATAGAGCATGCACAGAAGGCACCTGTGAGAGTCCATTGCTTCCCCAGACCTCCCACCTAATGTGCCCTTGTTTTTATTTCCCTCGCCTTGGGCAAGGCTTTATTTCTAGGCTGGTGGAGCTTGATCAGAAGTAACTATAGAGAGAGTTTCCTTTGTTTTTTGCTGACCTTCTTCTCAATCTCTTTGACTGAATCCAGTAAACTTTGTGGGTCAGTTTCCTGGTGAAGAATGGTGCTCTTGGTTTCTGCTTACAAGTCCAGCCTGGGAAAGGCTTGCTTCTACTTTAATTGTGACACTTTACTGAGAGCATGAGCGTCCAGGGGAGGAGAGGAAGGAGAACTTGATTCATTGGAAGCCACAGTAGATGTTTGGCACTGTGAAACTGAAGTGACAAGGGGGAAAAAATCCTCCTTCAGTGCGTCTGTGGCCCTGAATAATCTGAAATGGCAACAGGAGACAAGGGTGGTTTGTAATTCTGGTGGTGTAATGACAGAAGTTTGGCTGACTGTCCTCAAAACACTTAGCTTCCCTGCCTTACTTTGGTGAAACAAGTGTTTCTTTTGCACATCGATGCTCATTTGTGTGTAACTATGATTTTTTGATGTACACATGCATCTTGCTAGGAAGGCACACACTAGTGTTGGGGTCTTGTTCTGGAATTTCCACTTTTGGTAGGGGGAGATAGAATGAAGGTGATAAAATTAGATGGAAAGAAAGATACTCTCTTGTATGTAAACCTAACCCAGTTGTTTCCCAGAAAAGATTGTAGATATTTATGAAGTCTTTTATGAGATTATTTAAGAGCTGAAGGAAACCACAATATCATCTTCCTTCTCAAGGGGAAAGAATCAAAGTGTGATCCACAGACCAGTGGTGGCAGCAGCAGTACCTGGAGATACTTCCTAGATCTACTGAACCAGAATTTGTGTTTGTGTTTGTATGATGTCATGTATGTGACACACTTATTCACAGGATTTTATTTGTGGGGAAGTTGCAGGTGTTTTATTTTTCTGAATAAAACCCACCTGCCTCACTGCCATCCCTCACAAGTGTGAAAGTTCATCAATGACTGATCTTTCCAGCCCTCTAGAGGTCTTCACATACAGGCCCCCATTGAGATTCACCTCTTGGTCAATCTTGGCAGGTTGAAACCATGTAGCTTTCTTGATAAGTCCAGGGGAAGTGGAAATAGATAATGCCACAATCCAACCTTTAAAATGCAATTTTTAACTGTCCCGCTGAGTATATTTTCAGTATCACAGCATATGTCTCTAAAAGTAATTATAAAATGCATGATCTCAATGTATCTGTTCATAAGGTAACTTTGTAAAAATTACAAATATGTATATAGCTGGATATACAGCATAAATATATATATGATGAGATGAGGGAACTGTTCATTATTGTGACTTTAAATATTTTAAATTTGAGTTAAATTAATAAAATAAACATTTTATTTATTTTACAATTCTGACTCCAGTGTTAGTGGGATATTATAATACTTTTTATGGTGATAACATTTTTCCACTTAGTATACCTGTAATAAACTTAGTATCAAAGTTTAAGAAAGTTAAATTATTTTTAAGTTTTCAAAAATTTACATCTTTTTTTCCCCTGTGCGTTCTTGCACTAAGGGACAAAAGAAGAATCAACACAAAAGATGTGATTAATTGAGTGTAAAATCTAAAAATTGCATGAAAATTTCAAGGGAAAAAATGGTCTCCCTTTTATAAGGCATCTGGAACGCCTACATTCACTAAGAAAATGTCAACACTCAAACAAGCCCCTGAGACAATATGTGGTTTTCTATTCACTGTTTGGAAACAAACTTTGTGGTCATGGGTCTATAGGAAGAGCTTATAACAATTATAAGTTTGTTTGTTTTATTGTTTTCTGTAACTGAATCACTAGAGCTAATCAAGATTTATTGGTTATTACTGATACTTCAGAACCATTCATTGTCCATCAAATCCTTTATTAAATATATTTGGTACATAAAGGAGTCTGGCATACTACCGTATATTGTGTAGGAATGTGGCTTATTATATACATGTTTTTAAAGGATGTTGACATCCTGTGAATTATATCATCTGTCGTTATTTATGGCTTTAGGAAAGCAGCAGGCAAGTCTCATGTGACAAATGCACCTTGTGATATTGTGTGTTTCTTTAAGTACAAAACACCAAAAGTATGTACACACGCACTTACATATACACATACACTCCCCACAGATTAAGGTGATTTTTCTGTGCTATATAATTTGCCTTTGAATGACTTATTTGTAGAATTGTGTTTCAAACAACCAAAAATGACTAACTCATCTACAAAATCAGTTGGTGAGGTTTAAACATCTGTGTTTCTTGAGGATGGTTCCATGTAATAGCAAACTCGGGCAAAAATGATTAGTGCATGTTGCTTTGGTCTCTGAGAGCTCCACTTACAAATATCTGTGACTCATGGGAGAAGAGGCTGCCCAGATTTGTTCCCCTGGCTGTCACTGTCATTCCCTCAGCCTTAGAGATCCCTTCCCCTCAGGGCATTACTTGGGGCTTTAAAACCATTTGCCCTATTCTTATCTGCATTTCTTGCCTGTTAATTTGTAAGACTTGGAAGATGTATGTTCTAATTTTGGGTCTATCCTTGCATACAACATGACTTTGAGCAAATCTCTTAAATGTTTTGAGCTCCAGTTTCATTTATAAACTGCTGAAACTATTTTAGTTACTCTACAGGGTTGTTTAAGGAAGCTTATAAGAGGCAAAG